CCTTGCAAAAGATGTACTCTGCTTTGTGTGATGGCTTCCTTATGGAGCTTTCTAATAAATCAAACATAACAAGACGCTTCTTATTTCCTCTGGAAAAGTAGTAAATACAGGCCTCTGGAACAGCCTAATTTTAAATGTAGAAAAAGGAGACCAAAGCCCACATGTTCAAAGGTAAATCAAAGTATAATTGCATCCAGAGCAGCTCTACGGAAGGCTGAGTGTGAGCCCATCCCTACAGACAGCTCCCTGGTGACAAACTCAGAAGTGGAACCAGACAACACTGTGCAAAGGAGGTCAGTCAAGGAGATGGTTACAGATCCCCTTTCTGTTGTTTTCTATAAAGTACGACCTGAACCTTGTTACCACAGCTGGCAGTGCATGCTTGTGTGGTCACGGATGAGAGGTTTTGACCCTAGAGCAAAAAAAAAAAAAAAAAAAAGGGTGAAAGGCAAAGAGTGTATTCACCATGCTAGTTGCAGCAGCTCAAAATAATATGCAGTTTATTGCATTGTTAGCTGGAGAACCTGTCACGTCCACAAAAAGCTGAAGCAGCCTCCCTGTGTGGGACGAACGGGCTGCTCAGAACAATAGCATGAAGCTTGTGCTTGAGAAACTGCTTTCCTCTCCTCCCCACCGCCCTTTTGTTATGACATAATCATTCATCTTGCTTTGGGTTTTCTCAACCTAGTGAGTACAGAGAGGAACCAGAATTGCAACTAACAGGGGCTAACTCCTTCCCTTCTTAGGTAACTGCCACAGTTCCTCTGATGACAAGGCGATTCCAGATTAACCAGATTTCCTTTCAAAGCCAGAGTGTGTCTGCTACAGCAACAGAGGCCGAGCCTGGCGAGTAAGTCCTTAAAATCCAAAGGCAGTCTCCTTCTACGTGCCAAAGGGCACAAAAGGAAGAGGAAAGTTTAATAAGCCACGTTGGATTTGCTCAGTCCATCTGCTGTGATGAATTTCCATGAGCTTAACGAGCTCACAAAGTTAGCCATAGGTACATCAGGACTAATTTCTTCCCATCAGTGTCACATTCCTTGAAGTAGCGTTGTGAATCTACCCATTATTCACTGAGGCCATATTCTTTCTTAGATATTTTCTTCCTTTGATTCTTCTAGAGAACTGCCTATTTCTTTTCAATATCTTTTAGAGTGATTAGACTGTTCCAGAAAATAGACCCAGCCTTCGTTCTGCAAAGGGGACCTTTTTGCATAGGCACTTTGCTAACGAGCCTTCCTTCTGGCTGAATCAGAGCAGAGCCATTCAAAGGAAGCAACATAAGTATTCATTCCTACTGGAAGGGGAGAAAAGGCACTACCTTGTTCCTGTTAACAGCCAGCTAATTCAGAAGCACTGCTGCCCACAAAGCACAACTTGATTTTTTTATCAATTTGGAATTCCATCATTTTCAGATTCCATGAGTCTAAGAAGGAAATTCAAGGCATGGCGCCTCACTGCTTAGTTCTGAAGAGCAAATTTTAGATTTCTGTGTTTGATATTCCCTTTGCTCTGTGTGATGCTGGTGAATAAGACTGTTTTAATTCTTCAGCATGTGCCGATGAGCCTGCTGAGAAGGAATAAGATCCAAGAAGCAATGAGATCCAAAGCACTGCTTTGACCTCTGTGGATGAAGTCCTTAGGCAATTCTGTATGCGAAAGCATTTTCCTCCATGTATAAATGGTTTAAACAATTAATAAAACTCTCAAAAATAATTTTTCAAACTTTATTTTCTGAGGCACATTAGTGGCAAACGTTCCTGCTTTCATGAGGAGTGCTAAAGGTCTTGACTAAGCCTGGCTGTTCTGCGTGCAATTACTTTGAGGCAATTGGAAACTACTGGTTTTGTACAAATATCTACCTACTATGAAATGGCAGAGTCCTCATATTTCCTTTGTTTTTTTACGTTGTTTGGAACAAAGAACACATGGTGGAATTAAATCAAACTAAAGGGGGAAAGGGTGGCAAGGACATGTAAAGAAGTTTTTGTTGTAGTAGCTGAAACTGGCTTTAAGGAAAATGCAGAAACTGAATGAAATGCAGATGCTAACAATTTGACAACACTATTGTATTGGTGATCCAAATGGGAAGTAAATTGGTGTTGGTATTGTGCCAGCGGTGTCTTTTTTTGTGTACATGCAGCAGATAGCACAAAGGTCCCTCGTGTTACTGCCTCTGTCGTTTACAGGTAGTGTAATGCGTAGAGTAACAACTGCGTACTTCTTTCAACATCTCAGAGCTGGTGCTTGTTTTCAGTCTGCAGCCTTCCAGGCTGTAGCCTTTCTAGTCTGTATTTCACCACAGAAGGGCAATGAATATTAAAGTTTACTTTCTAATGAGACATCAGAGTTGCTCAAAGAGCTTTGCTATATCAGAGCTCAGCAGTTTGTCAAATGTGTTCCTCCTACAAAAACAAAACTGTGTGAGCATGCTGCATGGTTCCTACAAGAACCGGGAGCTGCAGAGCTTTCAGGCCTTGTGCTGCCAGCTACGGTGAGATACTGGAGAAGCTTTTTTAATTCCTTGGACAAAATAGAGTATCTAGTGGTGGGAGTGGAAGTAATGATGACCCCAGAAGGATGGAACAGCCGTAGAACAGAAGAAAGAGAGGCTTTGGTTCTGCCAGCCAATTCAACTCACTTTTTCTTTCTTCAAAGATAAAATAAACTCTTGAGACCAAAGATCTCATTTACAAGGCTGTTGTCTTAAGTCAGTCAGCACATGCGTTTCAATAACAGAGCATGAAAGAAACTGCTCACAGGCAAACAACAGAAAAAAACCATGAGTATCGATTATAAACATCCCTCATCCAACTGTGTGTGGGTATCAGCTTTATGATGAGAGTAGCCACTTGTATCCAAATGTTCATCTAACTATTTCAAGGGGTTGGATCTGGGCATCCTTCTAAATTACAGCAAAAAGAAGTTTGAAGCAGATGGGGTCAGAAAATAGGCTCAGGTGAAATGGGCCATCAGGAAGGGAAGGAAACTACTTGTTTAAATGAACTGATACTGACTAGAACCGCAAAAGATGTTGAGACTTCATTTTGAGCGCAGTGTCACCCCTTTTTGTGAAGAGATCTGTTTGTCTGTTCTGCTCAAGAAAATCAAGCAACGTGTGGTGCTTTGGAAACTATGTTGTAATTTCCTTTTTCAGCTGTTTTTAGAAACTGCTGGTGCATCTGCTTGGCTTACTCTGCTCTAAAAGACATTTTTAGGTTCCTGTAGCTCTGATTTTGACTATTATATGTTTAGATAGGGCTTTTGTCAAATATGTAATATTTATCTTACCCACTGAGACAAAGGATGTTTTTGTTGTTGTTTGACTTTAATGTCTTTTGTAGTTTGGTCAGTTCTCCTTCAGTAAGCTTTCAAATAAAAAACATTTACACTTCTTCTACTTGCTAGGATGGAGTAGAACATATGCATTAAATTTATCCCAAAAAGGATTGCCAAATTTTATTTCAAATAGCATTACAGTACTTGTAGATATTTCAGATCCGTCTTACTGTAGTTACAGCTAAATTTTTATCTGCAAGGTTAACATATTCCCTGTATTTTCATGTAGTTTAATTCATACTGTAGTTTAACTCATGGCTTGGGAGCAGGCAAACTGGGAAGTTGTTGTATGGGCAATGGATGTTGAATTAATAGAGGGATTTACAATCACTTCCCCTACATACATCTACTGTGCAGTATGTGCATCCACTCACAGTGGTAAAGTTAAAGTAACTACTTCAAAGCTGGATCTTGCCATTGGATTTTTAAATGAAAATAGTACAAAAGTTCTTTGAAATACCATTCACTTCTGATATTTCAGTCTGGAGATTGGGACCCAGTAATCTGTCAGTCTCTAACAGAGTAGTCCATGTAACTCAGTAACACTTGGATTACTCTGTTTACCTTTCCCCCTGTATATATCTATTGATCTTAAACTCCTCTGACCTAGAGACAGTCTCTCGACACTGTTTATTATGTTATTAAGATGATGAAATATGGAGTAAACAGAGAAGAGGGGAGATCCCTATCTGAGAATTTCCACCCTTGAACTTTTTGTCCCATATGCATCCAACCTGAACTTTTAGGTGCCTTAATGGTCTGCAGGCTCAACCCAGGCCAGAAGGTCTGAGAGGAAAAGTTCTCCGACACACATCTCCATTCTATGCTTTCTTTGTGCCAGTGTGCTTAATTACAATCCCAGTCATCCTTGTTTCCATCCACACAGGAGAGAAGGGAAGAAGGAGCTCTTCAGCCAACTTTAAGGTCAGAAATCCCTTCCAGCTCAGCCTCGCTTTGGCTGATGGGAGCCAGGAATGACTGAACTGCCGTGCCATGGCCTCAGCTCAGTGCTTGGAAGTGGGCTGTTTTGTCCTGCTTCTCTCCTGGTGAATGATTCCTGCTGAGATCAGGCCTGTCATTGAGAATTCATTTATTTTTTAAATAAGTATTTTGATTTGTTCAGTGTTTTAAGTCCTGAAAACACCGTCTGGGAAGGGTTCAGTAGAGTGTTTGCTCCAAATATACTGAAAGAGCTGTTCTGTTGTCAGCCACGGTGGGAGCAGTGGGGATCAGAACACATAGCATTCCGGGAGAACGTCATTCCGTAAGAGCAGTTTTAGTTATGCAGTGAGCAGCTCTTCAAAGCAGAGGTGTACAGGATTTATAATAATTATAATGACCACTTCCTGAAATGGGTTTATTTAGAATTCTTTGTTGTAGGCCAGCACCCAGTCTTTTTTCATCTGCTTCTTTCTCTAAATGTGTAGGAAGGTGTCCTTGTGAGCTCACACATCCTTCATGACACTCAGCTGCCAGTTGGCACCTGTACCTTGTCCTCATCATGGAGATATTTTAGCAGAAGTGTGTTTTAATCCCAGGTTTATTGACAGAAATGATGGATGGGTGGGTAGATAGATAAAATGATAATTCTTCAGCTTTACCAGAAAAAAATTCTTTTGTCCTTTCAATTCAGATATCAGATAATTCATGTGGCTCTGCTGACTACAGTCCTGTCATTTTGCCGTATCTGCTGTCAATAACTCCATTACCAGATAGTCCATCTGAAGAAAAAGAAAGGATTCTGACATTCATCATATTATTATTACTATTTTATGACAAGTGGCAATACACAGAGATGAAGGTGCAGTTTCCAGATCGGAGTCTCCGGTAGGTTCATGTGAACTATGTGCCTTTAAGAACCATTCTCTCTCCTCATAATTACTTATTGTACGAAATGGCAGTTGGCAGCAATCAGGTTAAGTATTTAAATGTTTTCCATTTAACTGAAGGGATTACATTCACATTTCCAATTTAAAATGTTGTACCATCTTAACTACGGAACCTCCTACTGTGCTGTAAAGTATGTTTTAGAATATTGGTACTAAATTTGCATGAAAATCCTTGATTTCATGAACACAAAATAAAACATACTATTGCATTTTTCTCACCCCTTATATACAGGTATGTTCTCCAGCAGGAACCAAATGGTTTATTGCTTTCATTGCTGCCTTCCCTTTGTTCTCCATCTTCATCCCTCTCCCAGTGATGGATTTTAAGTGCTGAATGTGGAGAAAATCATCATAATGAAAGAACTGACAAAATCTGGTCAAGAGCAGTGATCCTTCTTGGTAAGGAGACATGTCTAAACACAGTTCACATCTTTTGTCTACACTTGCCTACCTTTCTTATTTTCCTTCCTTCTTTTTTTTCTTTATTTTTTTTTTTTTCTCCTCCAATTCTTAGCAGCTCAGCTATTTCCAAAACTGAAGCTCAGGGAAAAGGAATTCTGGTGACCTCTTCTTTGCAGTAGGACTAAAAATGGACAGGGAGAAAGTCTATTCATTCGTGATTGCTTTCCATGCTGCTTAACAACAAGCTGTGTGTGTGCCTGACGCCTGCCAAGCAGCCTGAGTGCGACTGGTGTGCTTTCATCAACAGGGCTCGCCCTACAGCTGTAGCTCATCTCTATTTTTAGGCAACAGTGTCTCACCTTTTCTCTCCTCTGCTGAGCCCCAGCATTCATTGTGTTGTTTTCTGGGCCTTTTTCTGCGTGTTTCAACCATCCATCTGGTTAGGATGCTGAAGCCCCACGGTGCTGATAGCCCCAGCAGGGCGGCACTATGAGCCGATGTGAGGGGATCTTGGGCACAGAATCACAGAACCATAGAATGGCTTGGGTTGAAAGGGACCTCAAAGATCAGCTAGTTCCAATGCCCCTGTTTTGGGCCGGGTTGCCAACCACCTGATCAGACTGCCCAGGAACCCATCAAGCCTGGCCTTGAATGCCTCCAGTGATGGGGCATCCACAATTTCTCTGAGCAGCCTGCTCATGTGTCTCACCACCCTCTGAGTGCAGAATTTCTTTCTAACAGCTAACCTAAACCTTCCCTCTTTCAGTTTAAATCCATTCCCCCTTGTGCTATCACTATCATCTAAGTTTATAAACTCCCTTTAAGTACTGGAAGACTGCGATGAGATATCCCTGGGGCCCCAGGACTGGACTGAGTACTGCAGGTGGGGCCTCACAAGAGCAGAGTAGAGGGTCACAGTCACCTCCCTCTCCCTGCTGGCCACCCTTCCACTGATGCAGCCCAGGGTACCATTTGCCTTCCAGGCTGCAAGAACATACATCTGGCTCATGTCCAGACTTTCGTCCACCAGAACCCTGCATCCCTGGGTGTCCCTTCCAAAGCTCACACTCAGCAGCAGTGGGAATGCTTTCACTTCACTTGTGAGGAGCCATAAAAATGGGATTTGTTATGACAATTACATAAATATTATGTAGTCATTGCAAAAGAGGGATTCATTGTAATCAGTTAATTCTCATCCTCTCGGTGCCAATCACATAACTATATTTTTGTTCTGGAATATCATTCCGTCCCTTATATTTGTGCATTGTCTAGATTGACTAAAATACTACAGTAGATTGTGGTGAAATGGGTCCTGTTTCCCCACGCTGTGCCTTTCATACTGCTGGGGAGGTGGATTTCATATTCTGTGGAAGATTTCTTAAAGTATCATTCCCAGCTGAAAGGAAAAAAAGGCTCATCATGGAGTGAAACACAAAGCAGGTCATTGATGGGTTTGCATTACATAACATTGTTGAATAATATAAAAAGATCATTTCCACATTTCATATCCATTTTTTAACAAAGTGGTTTTGAAAAGAAACTAGAAATATTAAAAATGTGGAAATACCACAGAAACATTGAAATAGGTAGTAATGAGATGAAAATCATTTTGTTTTATCACCCCAATATACCAGAACAGTAAAGCAAGGAAAACTTCAAATTTTGATGACTATTGGCTTTCCCAATGGAAACTACCGAGTAGAACTAACAAGTTGTTTATATAAAAGCGGGGAGGAGAATAAAAAAACCTCAGAACTTATCTTAATTATTCCAAAAGGAAAAGCAGCTAAAAGATTTGAAAGCTCCTCCAGAGTCGTGTTACTCATTGTCTGAGACAGCCTTCACATTACAGTTGCCACCTTTAGAGTTTCACGATGAGGGTTTTGTTCCTGGAAAAGGAACTGGGAGCATGGTTTGTGTTTTGTGCTTGGTGTATACGCTTTTAGGTCATTCCCCATTCGCACCACAAATGTAACACAGCCCAGTTGTATCTACTGAGACTTCTGGTTGAAAGCAGTACTTTCCACATCACAGCCTTCAGATGAATCTTTACAGCCACCACTTTATTGAGCAGCTTTATATTTCTCCTCCAAACACAGTTATCTCCACCGATCCATATCATATTGAACAATCTGAAAATAATGTTATTAATGGGCAGGTATTCAGCCACAGAATCACATTTTATTTTAGGCAATAATTATAAATTGAACATGTTGCCTGGATCTCACTTGCCTTTTACAGAAGGATATAGGGACTATGGATAATTTATAAACAAATAGTATTATATTATTGATCACTGATCTCCATGGTTACTGGGCTCCTCTGGTTTCATCGTGGCCTCTTTGTAATTAAGCATTGTTGCACATACGCTGTGCTGTGAGGTAGAATAGGCTGGAAACACACGAGTCATTATAACGGGCAAAGAGGGAGATTTCCTTTATTTTGCACCATGGCACAACTGGCAAAGCCCTTTTGTATGTATGTGTGGAACTGGCTGCCCGTGAGTCAGAGCATGTGGGAGCAGGTTGGGGGTCATTGGGTGAGATCTTCATCTGGGGCCATAGCATCAGTGCAGGATTTGGGCACTCACTGCCTGCTGTCATAATGGCACCCAAGGTACGGCTCGAGTGTCACTCTGTTCCAATGGGATTTAAAGCAGTGATGAGTACTCAGGTTTGTGCCGTTCATTCTTTAAATCCATATTTTTTATTCCTTGTTGACCCAAACAATCAGTGCAAGTATCCTTTCTTAAAAAGCATTGCAAAAATATGTACATATGAAAAATTCATAGAAAAAAAAAAATCAACCTTTCCCTCCATCTCTGTTCTTCATTGAGAGTAGTCTCAAATAGTTCTTGGAGCAACAGACTGTTCAAGTTGAAAACAAACTTTGGTGAGGTTTACCTTTTTGACAAACATGTTTTGAATACTCTTCTGCGTCACCTCTGAGCTGACCCGAGGCAGGTTTGTCCTCTCTAGATGCCTCAGCTCTGATACTGAAATACTTTAAAATGCAAATAGGAAACAACAGAGGAAGCATTTGCATCTTGAAATAACTTTTTTAAAGCCCTTCTTTCAGTCTCCATGCACCGGTTATTCATTTCCTTCTCCCTATCAGACAAATTTCAGTTTCCCCATTTCTGGGTTTGATTTCCCCCAGCTCCATCTCTGCAGAGCACCCCTCCTGCTGTTCCCCAGGCTGTGGATATCTGTGTTCCCATCTGATGCAGAGGCTCTGAGGGATGTGGTCATCTTTACTGCAGCAGCCACCATGGGGCTCACTCACTGCTCCTTCTCCTTTCATCTTCGTGGATACCTAATCTGTAACACACTGCTTATCATCCTCATCAATATCTTCATATTCTGCAGACTCTCTCTTCTCTTTCTAGATTTTAAAGCCCTTATTTGGCCAAGGAATCCTTCCCAAATAAAGCATATTGATAATATTTACTTGCTCTACAATAGGACCAGTTTCAAATATGCAGCTTTTGGCATCTAACATATTTCCAGGGCTCCCAGGGGAATGGGCACTCGTAACGAGTAGCAGATATTAAAAACCAAAATGGGTCTTACTAAGAGTTTTTTTCAGGACACTTTTCCACACAATCCTTTTCCTAAACAAAAGGGTTTCAATACACAAAAAACATAACACTATTACACCAAGATGCTTAGGTGCTGTTGTAGTCACAGAGGGACCACAGCCAACAAAGAAATCTACTTTTAAAACACCAAGACGAGTCTATAGAAAGCAAAACATTCCGAGTATGGATTTATGGATGCTTTTGCCTAGATTAAATCCCAGCGGATGAGATCAGGAGTCAGTCCAGAGCTGTATTTAGAAGCCACTTTCATAAAAATCAATGAAGCAACGATATAATTCTATCCATGTTTCTGCTCAAGAGCCTCAACCCGACATGCAAACATCTAATTTCCCTAAATTTTACCAT